GAAATTATTTCGTTACCCCTACCGACGCAGCCCCAAACAGTTTCTTTAGAAACTATCAGCCCTTAAGCCTATCAATACATCGTTACATGATAAAAAACCTTCGAAGTGTACATCAAGGCCCCAATTTTTTTTTTTTTTTTTGAGATAGGCTCGCTAGAAAAAAAGGCAGCACCCCACCCCTTCCTTTCCCAGTCTCACAAAGGCTGGGATGGGCAACAACATAGCTTCCAGTTTCCAGCGTCTCTCACTTTTTACCTCCGGAGCGCGAGAAGAAGAGGGGCCAGGAACGGGGTCGCATAGACCCTTACACACATCACTTAACTAACTGGAAAGCTACGTTACTCACTGTAGATGTGAATGCACTCCTAGCGATCCAAAAATAAACAAACAAAGAAAAAAGACAGAGATTTCTCGTTCAGCTTTACCTGGGCCATTGGAATCTTTCTTCACTTACTTTTCCTACAAACGTAAAAGAGAGCCAAAAATTTAGGCATAAAGGGAGAATAACAAAAAGCAACCCTTACAGTGTATTGCAAGTTAAACTACCAGAGAAATCATTAAAGGCTCGCAGACAACAATGTAGAAGGAGGAAAGAAGGAAGGAAGGAAGGTAGAAATGTAGGGTGAGCAAGCACATATTTATGCCAAATCTCCTTTGCGAGTCGGTCGCTGGACCAAAGAAGTTGATAAAGAGAAGTGGCTCGTCGTCTAACTCACTAGTCACGCTGGAGTGAAAGCAACGATTTACAAGCTAAAAGCAGACATGAGCCTAAGCCGCATCGGTCAAAGTGTAGGGGCGAGCAAGCGACTGTTTATGAATTTATTTTTCTCGGCCGACAAAAGGCAAATCAAAACAAAAAAACAACTTATACTCGTCACGTCGGGGTGAAAGTAATATTAGTTAAGTGCAAGAAAAGATTAGTAACAAATGAATGCCTGAGGGTTACACTGACTTTGGGAATCATTATTCACGACAAAGTATTCTGGGACATGCTTTCGAGACAAGGATCCCCGATTGGCTAATGCAATGAAAGGATTATCTTAACAAATAGTTGATTCCAAGAATGGCTTTGAAACAAACAACGCCACCAGACTTCATTATTTCGAGTCAAATTCCGAGAATTCAGGTCTCCATTCTCGCTGATTCCTCAAAGAAGACAGGCAAACTATGGATATCAAAACGTTGCTTCACAATCTTCGCGAAGAAGTGTCTTGTCCAGTGTGTACTAACATATACACGGATCCAAAACACCTCCCATGTCTTCACAGTTTCTGTCTGCAATGCTTGAAACAGTGGCACAGAACAAGCCATGGCCGAGACACAATAAGATGTCCGAAATGCCAAGTTGTTAGCAGAGTGCCCGATAATGGCGATCTGAAAGACCTTCCCACCAGTTTTTATCTGAACGGCTTGATTGATGTGCTGGCCATTAAAGAATGCAAAACCAGCCAAGTTGGATGTGGAAATTGTCAAAAGAAAAGCTCCAAGTGTTCTTACTGTTTTCATTGTTGCATGTTTTGGTGTGATGAGTGCCTCATCGGACATAACATCATTCAAGGCAATAAAGATCACCGTGTCGTGGCGCTCGAAGACTTTCAAGAAAAGGACTATGAGGATGTAATAAAACGACCCTTGTACTGCTCGAAACAACGGCACGAAAAAGAAGAACTTAAATACTTTTGCAAGAACTGCGAAACGGCAGCTTGCCAAAGCTGTGTTTTGATAGATCATGCGGGTCACGCCATTACGCACCTAGAGGAAGAAGCGGAAAAACAAAAGTTGGAAATGAAATCCTTGATTGAAACACAGAGGCGCGATTTACAAGCAAAGATTAACACTATGGGTCGACTGACTGAAGACTGCGCTAAATTGATACAACTAAGTAAAGACATAAAGAGAGAAGTGCAGACGTTTGTGGACAATTTGATTGCAACTATTGAAGCGAAGAAACAAAATATCTTTACAGCGGTGGACGATGAAACGAAGAGATTCCTCGAAGCTCTAACAACGCAAAAGACAGAGACTGAGAGTGAAATAAAGATCATCGAAGAATCGCTGGAAAAAGCTGAAACAATTCTTAGACGGAGCACAAACGTGGATGTCCTTCAGGGGAAGAAATCGTTGGAGAAAATATTTCAGGGAGCTGATGAGAGCCAGTCAAAGGACTACTGTTACCCAGAAAGGCTTCCTGTTTTAGTTTTCGTGGAAAACTCAAAGATAGTTAACACAATAAACGCCGAAGAAATTGGAACTTTGCAAATGGAAAACCGAACAAAAGCAAGTCAATCAGCTGCTGACGGCAAAGGACTTGAAGAGGCAATTGCTAACCGTGAAGCGCACTTTACTTTGACTACAAGGAACGCTAAAGGAAGACAATGTTACGATGAACGTGACCATGTAACGGTGGGGATCATGGATGAACAAGGACGAGACTGCGCCAGGGACTTGCGAATAACTGACAATAAGGATGGACGCTATCAAGTCAGCTATTCTCCCAGAAATGAAGGAAGATGTAAATTGACAATAAAGGTAAACGGGGAAAATGTTGGAGGAAGTCAATTCCTTGTCCTCGTAAAAACATTTCAGTTTAAACCTGTTTTATCTTTTGGAGAAGAAGGTTCGTCTCTTGGAAAGTTTGATTTGCCTTGGGGGGTTGCAGTGAATGCTAGGGACGAGATCGCTGTAACTGATCAAAACAACCACAGAGTTCAAATTTTCAGTAGTGAAGGAAAGTTTTTAAGATCATTTGGCAAAAAGGGTGACAAAGCGGGAGAATTGAGAAAGCCTCGGGGAATTGCATTTCATAATAATGGCAATATTTTCGTGGCAGACAGTGCTAATGATAGAATCCAAATTTTCAGCGGGGAGGGTGAGTACGTGGGAAGCTTTGGTGGAAAAGGAAACCTTGATAGTCAGCTCAATAATCCCTTGGGTTTATCTGTAGACAGTGATGGGAACATCATTGTTGCTGATTCAATTAACAGACTGATTAAGATCTTTTCTCCTGGTGGCAAGTTTCTAAGGAAAATAGGTGAGCAGGGATCCCTTACGTTTCCTTTCCACTGTATTCAGTATGACAGATATCTTATAGTGTCTGAAAGAGGCGAACATTGTATCAAAGTTTTTGACAGAAATGGAAACTTTCTGTACACATTTGGAAAGCAGGGTGGAGGGGACGGGGAGATTAATAATCCAAGATGTTTGTCAGTGAACAAGTCAGGACAACTTATGGTCTGTGACGAATGTAATCATAGAATACAAGTCTTTGAACTGAATGGAAAGTTTGTTGGTAAGTTTGGAACACGCGGCGAAAATTCAGGAGAATTCGATACTCCATGGGCAATCGCCGCTCTCAGTACTGGGCGAGCTGTTGTTGTTGAATTTGGTAACCAACGTATTCAGATAATTGAGTAGTTCACGTTCGCTTTGATGAATTATTTGGTCCATTATGAGAAGAGTTAAATTCAATCGGTCAATATTAGGTTATGTATAAATGGATCGAGTTTTACATCGAAAATTCACTTAAAAAATAGTAAAAATGGTAGAAGACTTCTTTAATTTTTGGCGGAGTGGCAGCGCTATATAAAAGAATAATCAAATGCAATAGTTTGTGAAGCATTCTGAGAGAAGCCTATTCCTACTGAGAATGTATTGTTTACAGAAATTTTTGTAAATATATTTGGTATTCATTTTTTTAACAAACCATAGTTAGTAGAGGGGGACTGGTCAGTCCCCCTCTACTAACTATGAACAAACCAAAGGTTTTGGTTTTGAGTGCGGACAAAACGTGCACAGGACGAAATGACTAAATTAAGTGTGCTTAAAGGTAACTTAGAGGTTAACATTAGAAGTATTTAAGACATCTTTAGGTGACATACGAAAGTTCTGAAATGAATCTTTAATGCAACTTTCAGAAGTCAATTAAAGTGTCCTTATGAAGTATTTAGTTAACACTTTAAGATCAAATGAAAGCAAACCTAAATAACCACTTCATGAACACTTTGAGATCACATGAAAGTAAACCGAAATAGCCATTTAATTGATTTTAAGAATCTTCTTAATTCTCGTAAACTCAACTTTA